AGATCCCTTTTCACTCTCCAAAGTGTCCCAGTTTGGATGATATATTGCACAGTCCGCCCATTCATATCTTATAATTGACATACTCATTCTTTCAGCATTTGTATGTATAACAGCCTCAAAAAAAAATCGCACTACTGTTTTTCATTTTTAAAACTTATTTCTCTCAAAACACTAACATACACTCCTGTAGAACTATAGGATTTTTCATTTGCATCACTTTACGAAGAGAAAATTCAGAAAAGATCATTTTAGTTTTATAAATAATGCTTAAAGTTGAGATTTATATACCCTTGCTCTAAAAATAAAAGAGCCCTTGAAGTACACTTGGAGCATTTTACTGATGAAGATTAAAGACTGCAATCTGTAGTAAGGATTATACCTCAATATAAAGAAAACAAAAATCCTCACAAATGGACCAATAAGCAGCACCACAACCGATGGAGAAAAGATTAAAGTCATAAAGACTTCATATTACTTGGTTCTACAATCAACACCAATGGGAACAGCAGTCAAGACATCAAAAGACATATTGCACTGGGCAAATCTGTTGCAAAAGACCTCTTTCAAGGGCTGAAATGCAAAGATATCTCCTTGAAGACTTAAGATGCGCCTAACCCAAGCCATAGTATTTTCAATTGCCTCACATGCATGTGAGAGCTGGACAACGAACAAGGAAGACCAAAGAAGAGTTGATGCTTTTGAGTTGTGGTGTTGACGAATGTGGTAGTTCAGTTTGTGTGTCAACTTGGTTGGGCCTGGTTGAGTGGCTGGGCAGCTGGTGGTAGTTATTCCCCATGATGACACTGGCAATCAACTCCATGGTGGGATCTACCACAAGCAGCTGAGTAGCTGCCTTTGGGATGTGGTCTGCTTCCTGTATATAAGGAGACAGCTTGGGGATAGTCTCTAGCTTATGGCACGCTTGGACCCTGCATGTAGCCACATTGTTGTTCAGCAGCCTGCCACGCTCTGCCGACCTTGGGACTTACAATGGACTTGAATTAATGGCCTGCCATGTGGTTTGGTAACATTGGGACTGTGCCTTCTTTACTTGTCAACCTTGGGCTTGGCAGCCTCAGCAGCCAGCAGCTGTCTGAGTGAAGAAAAGCCACTAGCTTCAGTGGGCCGGGAGCTGGAGACAGAGCTGAAGCCCAAGGCTGAGGGGCTTTCACCCAGCCCCTAGAGCCTGGCACTTTGAATTTGGACTTCTAGTCTCCTGAACTGTAGAGAATAAACTCCTGTTGTTAAGGACATCCCATTTGTGATGTATCCTTGTCAGAGTGGTACTAGGTAACCAGAACAACGAAGAATGCTGAAAGTACCATGGACTGGTAAAAGAGCTAACAAATCTGTCCTGGAAGAAGTGCAGCCGGAATGCTCCTTGGAGGCGAGAATGGTGAGACTTCGTCTTACCTACTTTGGTCATGTTGTCAGAAGGGACCAGTCTTTGGAGAGGATGTCATGCTTGGTAAAGTGGAGGGTCAATGAAAGAGGGGAAGGCCCTCAACAAGATGGCTTGACATGGTGGCTGCAGTGATGGGCTCGGGTATAGTATGGACCGTGCAGCTGGCACAGGACCAGGCAGTACTTCATTCTGTTGTATGTGAGGTCGCTATGAGTCAGAGACAACCTGATGGCACATAACAACAACAACAAGTGGTGCAATGGTTAAACTGTTTGGCCACTAACTGAAAGGTCGGCCATTCAAAACCACCTGCCCCTCCATGGGAGAAACATGTGGCAGCCTGCTTCCATGAAGATTTATAGCCTTGGAAACCCTACGGGAGTAGTTCTACTCTGTGCTTACAGGGTTGCTGTAAGTCAGAATTGACTGAACAACAGTGGTTTGATTTTTTGGTTTTGACCTATGGGAAAGAAAAAAAAAAAAAAAGACAGGCCAGGATATAGCAAGACCCCGTACAATAGTTACATAAAACAGAAGATTATGGATCTAAAAAATATTAAGCATGAGGCATATAATTTTCCTGACATATTTTCTAAAAATAAATTCAACTAATGAAAAGGAATAACTTTGTTTCCTATTATTTTTTCATTTTCAGAGTTCAAAAACTGTTTAAAAGCTCAAATGAAAGATAATAGGCACATTACCTGCATTTAAATCATTTACCGGCACTTGTAAAGTAGCTGCAACTTTTTTTAAAATGTCTCGCATTTCTGGTCCCGTTTTGAAGGCTTCTACGTGGTAAAGAGCTGTAGCATTCCTTTCCACTTCAATTAAAAACTTCTTGCAATGATCAAAGAACCTCATCAGTTTATCATTAATCCTTGGAGGTCCACATTCCATATCTGAAAAAGGGGGAAAAAAAAGTGTGTGTGTGTGTGTAAAGCACTGACATAGATGACAATTGAGAATTGTTGAAAATTTTGTTTCAAGTGTGAAAAAGGAATTCTAACACCTATTCATGTGAATGCATAAAATGAATACAGACTGATCAATAAAAGCATAACTCTAACTCTAACTCACTGCCGTTAAGTCGGATGCAACTCATAGCGACCCCTCCTTGGGTTTCTGAGGCAGTATCACTACAGAAGTAGATTGCCCAACCTTCCTTCCGAGGAGTAGCTGGTGGGTTTGAACCAACAGCCTTCTGGTTAGCAGTAAAATGCATAGGGCAAAAGAATTCTCCATTTGCAATCACAGTGACTCATGAGACAATATGCTAGAAAAAACTAAAGAAAATATCAAAGATAAAACAAAATGCATTATAGCAATACTACACAATGCAATAATAGCAACTGAAATGATGTTTCTTTAAAGAAACCAAAAATAATTGGACAGAAAAATCATAAAAAGGGCAGAAAAACCAAATTCTGTTATATAAGTATTGTTTGTTATCAGGCAAGAAAACTTGAGAAAGCAAACTAAAAATTAACAGTTTCTAACAACAAAGTGAGGGAAAATTCAATACATCAAATGTTTTTCTACTCTAAGCCAAAGTCTAAATATCTTCTTTTGTCAATGAACTTTCCCAACCCTGTTACTTTACAAAACAATTTTCTGTGGACAAAAACTAATACCACAAAATGACTAAATATTTTAGGTCTACTTTATTTCATTGTGCTAAGTGCTTCTGATGTGGTTTATCTTTTAACTGAAGATCCCACATAACTATCCATTTGGAATTCAATAAGCTACATTGTTTCCCTAATTTGACAACAAATGTATGGGTTCATACTATGAAGCATTTACTAATCAATGCTTCAACTACTGGGGTGCTTTTTAAGTTCTTCCAGAGTCATACTCAAGACCCACATATCTCAATCATCATTCCTCTAATAATCCACCATGAAAAGAACACCACATATATTATTTCTATATAAAATATGAGAAAACTTAATACTATTATACCATTTTTCTTAGGTTATATGTATGTATATTCAATGAACCCTGAAATGGATAATCCAGTCCATAAAAATTGCTAAATGGATTACAGTCCTTAAGAAAATATCCTGACTAGGAAAAAAACGGCTTCAAAATATGATTTCCCACGTAGATCTGGATATTTCATCTTTGCTATAATCTAATTACTGCTATTTTTTTAAACAAAGGCATTATTCTGTTTCTGTAAGAATACAAAATCTAATTCAGTGGCCTTCCTCAAAAGCCCAGATATACACAACAGGCAAAACCATTGTCTATAGATAAGAATGAACTGGCTAGGCAAAGGGTTTAAGCCTGGAGAGATGAAAATGATGAGGGGCGGACTTAAACCCTGACCCAGTCTGATCCTGGCTTTGTGTTCCATGCACATGCCAATTCTCATAATGCTACCTAAGGGCAAAATGTATTTATCCCAGGAGAGTACTTTGTGGTACACACTGTATACTAGGCTATGTCAAAATATGTCCTGCTTTCACAACTTATTTAATAGACCGATGGGGAATTTTTGAAGGTCTGGTGGCATAGTGCCTAAGGCTAGTAACCAGAAGACTGGCAGTTCAAACCCACCAGTTCAAACTCCTTCAAAGGAAGGTTGGGCAATCTACTTCTGTAGTGACACCGTCTCAGAAACCCAAGGAGGGGTTGCTATGAGTTGGGATCAACTCCACAGCAGTGAGTTTGGTTTGGTTTTGGGTGGGGCAAATGGTTTGTCCTTGGCTAAGAATCGCTGAAGAAAGGTCTGCCAGAAAGGCTTGACAATCTACTTCCATTTCATTACAGCCATTGAAAACCCTATAGAGTGTACTTACACACATGGGGTCACCATGAGTCGGAATCAACTTGTCAGCAATAGGTTTTGTTTTTGTTTTTTTGTACAGAGAATTTTTATCCATGTTAATGGAAAAAATCTGGCTATAATTAAAAAGCACAATTCAACAAGTGACTTAACAATTCAGCCAACTGAGTTACCCACAAAGCAGTAAAAATTATCACAAACCACAGTTAGTGGAGAACACCTTGGAAATGGCTGAACCACTTCAGAGAGGATGTTACTAGAGAAATGACAAACCAGTCTACCTCTAATTGATTTGATTTCCACTTGGGCTTTGAAACTAAGTGATGTTCCTCATCTCAACTCCAACCTTAGAATGAATTCTCAAGGAACCATTAGCACTTGTTATCTCTCTGGCACAAAAATGTCACAGACTTTTACTCTTATCAGGCATGTCACCGGTCAAGTGGGGACCATATAAGGGAAGGGTTAAGAGAACAAGCTCTGAATCAGATTGAGTGGGTCCACATTTAGCTGCATAAAACTGAACAAATTATTTCATGGTTCTGTGTCTCAATTTCCTCATGTATTAGGTAAGGAGGAAACCACTATCTACCTCAGAGAGCTGTTGTGAGGATTTAATGAAATCTGTGTGAGATGCATCTGTGACTATAAAAATATTCCTGAGCAGAAAAAGCACTATTTTGGGAAAGAAGACTATGCCTGACTGTAGTCCTCAACCTAGTGAAGAAGCATCAACAAGGCTCAGCTTCTGCATCTGTGAAATAAAAGGGTCCCATTAAATGACCTCTCAAATTTTGTGAATTCTTAATTAAAGGTATAACACCCTGTGATCATGGACCGCAGCTACAACGAGAAGTCTACAGTACATACAAGAATGAAACAGAAGGAAAAAATAGCAGGGCCGTAAAACCCACCAGCCACTCCTCGGAAGGAAGGTTGGACATTCCTACTTCCGTAGTGATACTGCCTCGGAAACCCAAGGAGGGATCGCTATGAGTAGGGACCGACTCGATGGCAAATAACTACAACAACAACAAAACACTTGAGAGCATCTGAAAAAGCTGTTAAGTAAAAACCCAACTAGTATCAAAAAAAAAAAAAAAAACTCACTGCCATTGAGTCTCTTCCGACTCATAGAGAGCCCTCTTGGTACGGCACAAGAGCTCCTTGTTAGTATCAAAAGTAAAGCCTAAAGAAGAAAGATCTAGATTAAAAGAAGAAAAAAGAAGGACACAGAACTGTAGGACCAGCTGCCAGGGAAAAGGGAAAAGGGCAGGTTGGTAATCAAAAGAGACGATTCAATTTGGGAACGGCAGATTAAAAGCTGCACGAGAAACCTGTCTCCCTTCCTGTCGGATCTTCAACATCTACTACAGTTTCCGGCACGTCCAAGTGCTAAATTCATACCCGATCAACGGATAAATGAATGGATGGATGAACAGGGAGACAGCCTAGTCCTGAAAACTCGCACCCTGGGAGGATACACCATCCAAGGGATGGATGGTGGACTGAGGACACAGAGCGGTGAGGACAGGTTGGGGGTCCAAAGAAGCGGAACCAGTCTCTACAGCAGAGGGGGACTTAAAGGTGGGGCTCGCGGCAGCGCGGTGGTCTGGTGCTGGCAGTCACCTGCGACGTCTGGCGGTGGCAGGCCGGGATTGTAGTGCTGCCACAGTCCCTGCAGAAAGGCGGCGCCGCTGTCTACACAGCGGTGCTTGGAGCTGGTGACAAGCCGCAGGCGCCCGAAATTCTCGCGGCGGAAGAGGGCTGGGAAGAGCGAAGCCAGGCGCAGCGCCAGCTGTCGCATATCCTGCCGCCCCTTCTCCACCAGCTGCCCGTCCATCCAGTCCGCGTACCACAGCGGCCGGCCGGCCAACGCAGCGCCCGTGTCGCGGCCGCCAGTCGCGCTGGCCTTGCCACCCCCAGGCCCGCGGGTCTGCAGCAGCCCGTGGAGCTTCCGCAGCTTGCGGATCTGCTTGGCCGTGGGGTAGCGGGTGCCGTGGCGAATGATGGCCACCAGCTGCACTGGCGTGCAGGGCCCCTCCAGCAGCTCCGGGTCCCGCCGCGGAGCTTCGGGGTCCGGCAGTAGCCCGGGGTTGACATCCTCGTAGCGGGTCTTGGTGCCGAAGTAGGGGCTGAGCGCCGAGGCCACGGGATCCCCTGACTCCAGAAAGGAGCAGCGCGCCAGCGACGAGAGCAGCGCCGCAGCCAGGGCCGCGGCGGGCGCTCCTGGGGCCCCGAGAGGGCGGCGGGAGCCACGGAGCATCATGTGCTGGAGCCGCTCAGGGCTACCCGCCTGCTGCCGATGCCGCACTTCCGCTCCGACGGACAGGGGGCGGTACCGGAGGGCGCTTCCGGCTTATGCTTGGAGGTTGTGTTTTTTGTTTCAGACGTAAGGTGTTTGAGGAGGCTGCGGTGGCTGGCGGAGGGTTGTGGGAGCCCGCAGAAAACCTCGTAGAGTGGCCTACACCTTTGGGTCAGATCTAGGTTGTAGCGCTGCGTCGCTGTCCCCGAGGCACCTCCCAGACCTGTGATTCAGGTAGAGCCGGCGTCCCTGGTCCCCCGAGCGTGGGCGAATTTTCTCTTAGGTGCCGCCTCAGGGACTGACTCCACGACTCCCACGCTTTTTAAATTTTCTGGGGTGTGAATGAAGCCTGAACTAAGGCTTAGCTTACAAGGCTGCCTAAACAGGACACCTTTGAATAGATGATTCATGCATCACCGTGCGCGTGCTACTGTGCTTTTCAAACGTAATCTCAGAACTATCCAAATCAAATCCGCCCGAGTCCCGTGTATTGTTAAGTGCTCTCCAGTCAGACTCAGAGTGACCCTATGCAGAACAGGAGGAAATGCTGCCTAGTTCTGTGCCTTTTCCACAATCGTGGCTGGTTTTGAGTCCTTTGTTAACAGCCACTGTGTCAGTCCATCTCATTGAGACACTTGTGGAAAATACAGGTTCCTAAACTTTGTTCCTGGATGCCTCTTGAAGCCCAAGATTTTTCTTCCCATAAGAGTGGCAAATAAAGTCCGCTTAAGGCAAAGATGAACTTGGAAAGGGGCTCCGCTCGAACCTAAGCCCTGAACTTTTGGTAGTCTCTTGTCTTGGGCTAATAGAACTGATACAGACATTAGCAAGACAGCACCCCCAAAAGTTCTGTGCTTGTTGAGACTGAAAAGACATCGCAACCCTGATAACCTGGATGCTTTGAGCACACCCAACAGCTTTACTCCATTATTAAACATGAGCTGATCTGTTGGTGAAGCAAACATGTTATTTACCACTGCTCCAGATCCATAGTCTCCTCCCTGTAACAACAACCAGCAACTGGATTTTTTGTAGGTTATTGCTCAGAATCTTTACCTAACCCACAGTCATTAATCCAAGCAATACTTTTGTGTCTCCACTTGAACCTCAGTTTATATGACAGTTGGGAAAAGGATAAATACTAATGAAGTCATGTGGTCACCCAAATTCAAGGAAGTTTGGACCATGTTTTTCTAAGTCTGGCTTTCTAAACTGAAACTAAAGCAAACCTAACCCATTGCTGTCAAATCAATTCAGACTCACTACAACCCTGTGGTTACAGAGCAGAACTATTCCATGGGTTTTCTTAGTTGTAATCTTCTTGGAAACAGATCACCCATCCTTTCTTCTGCAGTGAATGGATCCGAACTGCCAGCCTTTAGGTTAGTGTTGCAGACTGGCTTGTGAAATAATGACTAGAAAGTCAGCTGTAGCTCAGAGAGAAATGTAGTAAGAGGATAGAAACCTTGCAAGGAGCTCTCGTAGCATAATACCTAAGGCATTTGACTGCTAACCAGAAGGCTGGTTGTTCAAACCCACCAGCCACTCCTCATAAGGAAGATTGGATGATCTACTTCTATAGTGGTACCACCTCAGAAACCCAAGGAGAGGTTGCCATGAGTCGGATCTGACTGGATGGCACTGAGTTTGATTTTAGTTTGAACCATGCAAGGTGGAGATACACCAGGCCAGAGGCAACGCCATGTGTGTCTCCCTGAGCCTTACAGGCTAGGGGGTTTTTATAGTAGTTTTTTTAAAAAACTGTGGTTTGATTTTAAAAGACATTGTGCAGGCAGGTATTCATAAAATCAAAACAAGATAAAAAAAATAACCAAAACAAAATCAAAAGCAGAACAAAATTGTGACAAATTCCTCAGCTTCCTTCAGGCTATGTGCAGTCTGCTGTTTGCCGTTGGTTTGAGGCTTGGTCTCGTCTTGGATTGGCCATCTTAGTTCATCAGGTGGCAAAGGAGGGGCACAGGTGTGCAGGCTCCAAAACTGGTTAACACTGGCCACAGAGAGTGAGCTGGAAGACATCTCAAGGATGGCTTGTTACTAGGAAAGTCCATTTAAGTAGTAAATTTATATTTGCATTATTTCTTTTGCAGTGTTTCTTCCTTAGTGTTGTGAATGCGATCGCCCTGTTGTATGAGCTGTTCCCGTCTTGGTTTTATGATCTTAGGAATGTGGTTGCAGGGACAGGATTCTTATATGATTATGGCTACAAGTAGCAGAGTAAGGCAGTGTTTATATTCAACAAGATTAGTATGGAATGCAGAACACATACTCATCTCCCAGAAATTCTAATGTGTCCATACTATTACAGTTAATAGTCCAGCACAAACCATTTGCTTCACCTAGGGACCTTTGTGTCTCTAGTACTCTAGGGAAACTAGCCTAGGTACTGTGATTTATGTAGTTTCTTTTTCCTTGATTTTTAGGGAAGAATTTGATTCGGGCAAGAAGAGAGTTTTATCTTCTGAAAGAAAATTAAAAGGATGGGTATACATGTCTGCCTATTAAAATTGGGTAATGAATAAGGAAGCCCGAAGAAGAAATGAAGCCTTTGAATTATGACATTGGCAAAGAATATTAAATATACCATGAAGTACTAGAAGAATAAATAAATCTGTCTTGTAAGAAGTACAGACAGAATGTTCCTTAGAAGCCAAGACTATGTGACTTTGTCTTATGTACTTTAGACATGTAATCAGGAAGGAAGAATCCCTGGAGAAGGACATCATGGTTGGTAAGGTAGGGGGTCAGTAAAAAAAAGGAAGACCCTCAATCTGGTGGATTGACAAGGTGCCTGCAATAATGGGCTCAGACACAGCAGTGACTATTAGGATGGTGCAGGACTGAGCAGTGCCTCATTCTGTTTTACGTAGACTCACAATGAGTCAGAACAGACTGATGGTACCTAACAACAACAAGGAGGGAGTTCATGGAGCTCAAACCTGGTACCTTCAGTTTGTTCAGTGACATAGGAGGTAAGATTGTCTAAAGGGATCATGGGAATGGAAGTTATTATTTATGAGAAGTATTAATGGTTTAGACTTGCAATTGCAAGAAGTGGGAGAGGAATAGAAAAGGATTTGCAACAGAGTAAAAGGAAAACAAGTAAAAAGTTAGATGGTCAACTTTGAGAATCAAACTGAAAATGAAAGACTTGAATTAGGTAGTGGTTGTGCAATATTGTCCAGAAGTTAACATTCTGTATTATAACAACAACAACAACAAACAACATTATGTCTTTCAGCGTGGAAAAGAGAAAGTCGAGTGCTATTTTTCTATATTAATCTAGTATGTTTTAAGTGGAACCTCCCTTCTAATTCCCACTCCCTTAAAGGATAGCTAGATCTATTTTGCCAGATTATTCATAGGACTTCTAAAATAGTCATTGCACTTCCAAGACTGAATGGTATAATATAATGTTTCAAATTACAGCCATGTACTATCCTTTGAAATAGGTTATTAAAGAAGATGGCTTTCTGAAGAAGAAATACTAAAAAGGAAAGAAAAGCTAGATTTTGTGAAGAAAAAATTAGGCTCTATTTAAGCATGTTATTGTTGTTGTTATGTGTCATCAAGTCGGACTCGACTCATAGCGACCCCTCCTTGGGTTTCCAAGGCAGTATCACTGCAGAAGTAGATTGCCAACCTTCCTTCCGAGGAGTGGCTGGTGGGTATATATAATATTAATTAAGAACATGGTCTCTAGAGTTAGACTTTCTGAATTTTGAATTCCACACTCATCTCTGTATCTGTGAGATACTGTGCAAATTAACCTCTTCTGTCTCAATATTTTTTCCTTCTAAAATGGGGAGAATAACAATGTAAGATGAGAGAATTAAATGAGACAATCTACAGAAAGATAGTTATATAGTTATACAGTTCCTGGCACAAAAGAAATATCAGTTACATTTATTAAACAGAATGAAAATGTTTCTTATTAACCCTTCTCCCCGATCAAGTAAACTGGCTTATTCCCAATGTTTCATACATATCTATTACCTGACGACTACCTTAAGTAACTAACTTTGTGCCTATCTCAAGAAGCTTTTAACTCTACTGTTAACTGAAAGTCAGCAATTCAAACCCACCAGCACTCTGTGGGATAAAGATGAGGCAGTCTGTTTCTATGAAGAAAACAGCCTTGGAAATCGTAAAGGAGCAGTTTTACTCTGTCCTATAGGGTCGCTGTCAGTATCAACTCAATGACAACGGGTTTTAGTTTATAAAATTGCTGTCCTGCTGTTGCAGCATTATTTTTTACTTACAAAACCTTTTGACAGTTGTTGATTTAGCTTATTTGCTTTCTGACGCAATAGAAGCAGCTGACAAAAGAGGGATCCATGTGTATGAACAGAGCTGGAGTAATCTGTGCTCAGCAACAGACTCTTCAAACTTGCTTGAATGTGCAGGCTGCGTAGATTACAATCTCCATTGGCTACAAGATACATTTGCTCAAAAGGAATCATACCATCCTTGATAGCTAGCTGTTAGGCTGTTCTTCATCATCTTAAAGCTAAACTGACTTATTTAAAGTCGTATTTCATTTTATGTCCAGAACATCATTGAATCACACACAACTGCAGAAGTGGGCTATTCTTTTACATTGTCTATTACACCCTGCCATGAGAGTTGTTTTGCAATGACAGTTTCTCTTTTAATGACCTGACACATTCTAGGACTTGATGTTAGGAGTTCTTGCTTTCCATTGAATGTTGGTTCTAAATCCACAGAACTATGCAAGAAATTAGATGCAAATTGTGGTAGATCTAAATATACTGATATTCTCCATATGCTTTGATATTCCCATTTAATAATAGGGGGAGCAATAGCTATTTACTTGGCAGGGCTGTGCTATACTGATTTTCTTATACAAGCCAACATTGTTGTACAAAAACATAATTTCCTTCCATCCAAAATATATACTCATCCCATTACAAAGATACATAATGTGTTCCAAATCTTAGTAAAAATCTCTCTTTTC